CAACGAAATTATCTAACTAAGCTAATCAAAGAAACCAATATCAACAAATAATCCACTAATTCAAAAATGTCAGTAAAAAATGCAACAAACAATAAAAAATATTTTGTCTGACCTTAAATCCGAAAATTTCACTATCCACTGTATACACTGTACACTACACTATCGCCCATAAATAACCTGGTAGCTCCAACTCCTTGTATCCATATATCTCTTCGGCATCAATTTCGAAGAATTCCAGAAATCCGTAACTTCCAATATGCAACCTTGTAGTATTCAAAACTTCTATGTTATATAGACGAATTCCCATGTATAACCACTAGTCCTGGGTACTCCTGATCCGGCTCGAATGACCAATTAATATGTGCGTAATTCGCTACACATCATCTCGTTAGCTCAGGATGAACCAATGGACTAGTATTGTCAAATTAAAGACCCTTGTTGCGTTAAAGGTTTATATTTTCAAAAACACAACACTATGTACAAAAACTTAATGTATAAAACCTTAACCTACACATAACCTTGTTTATGTGCAGATTTCCCAAAATTATACTCCTTGAATTACAAACCCGATACNCCCTTGTTGCGTTAAAGCTTTGTATTTTCCAAAACACAACACTATGTACAAAAACTTAATGTATAAAACCTTAACCTACACATAACCTTATTTATGTGCAGATTTCCCAAAATTATATTCCTTGAATTATAAACCCGATACGAGAGCGCCTACTCGTCATGAAAAGCAAAGTACTTCTCCTTCTGAAATTATTTCCGAAAAACTGCCTGCCTCCTCCTTGAACCTTTTTTTATTGCCACTTGTTTTCAAGTTTCAATCTGCCTGCATATAACCCATAATGCCCCAAAGAGAAAGTTAGCAGGTATAATCCCAGCCCTTGTAAATGTATATTTTTCAAAAAGGAGCAGACCAAATATTTTTTCTAGGAAATCTGAACACATACCTTGCAAGTACTTTTACTTGGCATGTTATTAAGTATCGTAAATTTAATTTTGCCTATTAGGGTACCAATCTATTTCAGTTATTAATATGAAGGATTGTAAACTGAACTATGACTGCTACATGGAAGTTTACTAAATACGTTATTTAATTTTTGATTTTTTAAATGTAACGCTGCAGGCGGCTAAGTAGCCGTAGTAAAGTTGAAATCTGTATAATTTTAATAATATTGTTGCCCTACTAGTCTCTACAATATGTTTACAATTAAAAAATATTAACACTTAAATTACTAGCATTTTATGCATCACAACTTTCATTCTTTCGTCTACTATGTGCTACATAGCTTTCTTCGAAACTTGTGGTTTACAAGAAACCCTCTTAGGAATTTCCAGCCGGCATCACCTTCTCCTCCGTTCCAGACTATCGCACAAGTATTTAATCTGGGTTGGAAGGAAGGAATTGCTTAAGCTGTCAAATATTTCCTAGCGGTTATGAAAATAGACAAAGATAAAATGAAGAGAGAATCCTCCACATGCAGTTTAAACTATCTCTCGATAGAGTCTGTCGGATTATATTTTATTTTGGGGAATTGATCTTTAGAATTTTACAATTAACTCTTAAATTATACACCTGTTTAAAAACATGATAAGCAAGAATTTAAAAACCTACTAGCATGAGATATTAAAGTATAATAGGTAACTTACATCCCTGAATACATTTACGTTACTCGGTTAATCTTCAGATAAATGTTTATATTTTTCCCAAATATCTTCAATTTATTGTTGCATGGTTAGATGGTAGACGAACACTGACATTACATCAGATTTGATTTTCGGAAAACGCCGCTTATAAATAAAAAGCGCAAAATAAACCTCCAATTCATTCAAACGGCCTGCCTAATGTCTCCATTTGTGAGGTCATCCACTAGTCACAAGAAAACGGTAAATAGAACTTAAATCCATTACACAAAGCCATTTGAACATGTCTCATAGTTTCTTGTTCAATTAGTTGTGTATGCGAGCAGTATTTCAGCAAATATTACGAAATTTTCGAAGGGCATCCACTACTTACATGAAAAAGATAAATAAAATTTACATCTAATACTAAAATTTGGTTCTATGATAGCGAAGCCCAGGTGAAATGTTTTTAGAGTTGCCTAAGCTATTGGAGGCTTGGTAACGGTTCTGCAACAGAAAGAACACCCCTTTTGGAAAGTGAATTGTAGCTATGAATTTAAGTTGGTCCAAGCGAAAATTATTCTTATAAATCCATAACGTTATACATTATAAAGTAACATTTTCTAACTGACCCACTGATCAATGAATTATCATCACGTCAAAACCTTAAGAAAGCTAGAAATATAAAGCTTAAGCTGGAACAATAAACCTACTAATATATACCTAGATACCTAAAGCTTGAAAAATAAGATGCGCATGTTGTGTTGATTTTAGGATGTATTAGACAACCACTGATTAACTGGAATTTCAAAAAATTCTTTAAATTGGAATGTCTAAAGGTATTGAGGAAACTCGGTGACGCATGTCTAAATAATTGAAAAAATAATTAAATCTTGGTTTTATTCCACAAAATTATAATACATTTAAATATTCTACATATATTTCCGTAGTTGCACGACCTTCAAAGAGTTTTAAACTAAAAGAGTATTTGGTTTTAAAATAACCCATTGCGATAAGAGTTAATTAAATAATTGCTTTGTTCATCGTTGATAGTTTGATAGTATGCAGTACTATTTGAAGTACACTTCGACATGGTATTAAGAACACAAAAATTAACGTTGCCTAAACATTAATAAGTAAATCAATATCTTCTGGATAGGTAATTGCAATTTTATTAAATTTCCAAACGGCCATTGAAATATTGTCAAGGAACGTCGTCTTTGTTTATGGGTGGTTCGTCAATAGCCCTATCGTTTCTTTAGAAAAAATAAATTACATCACCAGTAAATACAAACACAAGTACGTTTTCTGCGTACACTAGAAAAAACATTTCTGAATCACGCAAAAAAAATCCCACACTTGAAGTACTTCATTTGCAGCAATCATACATGATCGCGCAAATCATTAGCGTTCTGCACTGGCATTTAATGTACAACCTGTTTGATACAGTACAATACAAGGAAGTCAAGCAGGTGATCAGGATTACGCGCCAGCTAAGGTAGAGAACTCATATGTCTAATCAAGCGTCTAGAAAACTGTTGGCCTAGAAACTCACACATCATTATGTAATAATACTATTCTGCACTGACCTATGATATAGACACATTCCCAACCACACAACAGCACGAATACTTCTAACTGGCAGCTGATCGAATGTGGCGGTGAAATGTCGTATTTCCCTTTCTCAAAAACGACTTTCGAACCGTCAATCATGTACTTAATTTTCTGGTTTTATAGTGCCCTATCACCTCCTGCAAGCTTGCTACTATTTCATAAAGACCCTGTATAATACCTGATATTTAAATGATTTATAATAAAAATATTATTCTTCTCACGCGGTCGAAGTGACAAGCAAAAGTCAATATACTTATACCTATGCAGTTCGTTGTTAATACAATTTTGAAATAATCTTTTGNCCAAAGAGAAAGTTAGCAGGTATAATCCCAGCCCTTGTAAATGTATATTTTTCAAAAAGGAGCAGACCAAATACTTTTTCTAGGAAATCTGAACACCCGGCAAAATCACTTTCTACTGACAGTGAGATTATATCTCTATATACAACCCTCTTTTTGTCATTAAGAAATTTATGAATCAAATAGACTACCAATACCTACTGTGGGACTGAAACTAAATGAAAAACTAAATCCCAAAAATTTTCACAAAACGTTTACGAATCCAGAACTCCCTTCGAAGTCCAAGGGATCATTCTAAGCTAAGGAGAGTTAGGTTGCCAAGCATTTTGTGGAACTTTGGGATTTAGTGTTTTATTTAAAAAGAACCCCGTACTTAACGAACACTTATTCTGATTTTTATACCGTAACTGTTTTACCTTTTACAAAAGAATTTTTCGATAAAAACTTAATTAAGTCGATAAGAATTCTGCAACAAAGTGTAGAAAAAAATGCCTATTGTCCAGTTCGGTAATTTTTCACGGACTTCGCTTTTCGAAATTTATCTGAATATGCATCATATACGCATTTACTTCTATTATGAGAAATAAATAAAAATTTAACTGTAGCCTTACAAAATATTGTATATGCATTCCTAGCACGTATGCTGGAGGAAATAGCTAATTACTGAATTACAATTGCGGCTAATAATCACGAAATTGCAAAATGCCCACGGGGCGAGCAAAAAAAATAATTTTATACGCTAAACAAGAAGGATAATGTTATATACTTAATTGGACGTTCATCAACTATTCGTGCTATCTTTCTAACACTTTTCATATACGAGGTTAGAACATTTATCTCGTTAAAGTGCCACAAATGATTTCGAAATTATGCATTTATAAAACAAAGCTGTTTAGAAGACATTACCACAATTAATACCATTGTGTTTTAATAAATTTTTTGCACATGTCACATCGTAATTTAGTCATGTGACGGTTCTGTAGCCTTCAAGTAATATTTTTGATAAAAACTATTTAAAATGAATGCCGTGATAATTAATAAAAGTGCAGATGCAGTTGAAAAACACTACAAAATACAACAGATAATCAGATGTTACCTACTTAAGGATTAATTTTTTGAATGATGCAAGTTAAAAACCTCGAAATATTTAAGTATTATGCATATTTGAAGAGCATCCCTGCTGATCGTTTATTAAAATAATCTGTAATTATCAAATATTTGGACTTTAAAATTTAAGTTAGTTACCTACTAAATATTTAAATCAATTTGTGACACCAAAATAGTCAGTATAAAAATACTAACAAATAGACAGTACGTAAATTAGTCATTAACTGGTTAGGTTAGAAGTTAGATTACGAAACTCAGTTAATTATTTGTACTTATATACTGCCCAAAAATACCGACCAGAAGAATACAATCCAAACAATATGAAAATAAGGTGTCTTCTTCTTGTTTCAGAGAAAACCTAACAATGATAGACAGAGTGGAGCCCGTAACACAAAATCCAGATTTGGTAGGGGTTAATGTCGAAAGGCCACCACCTCCTGCTTTAACGAACCAACAGTCCACAATATGGGCCAAAAGACAACACGCAGTATGCGTAAGGCATGCATACAAAACATATGGTTCGAAAAAAAATCCTAACCATGTCTTGAGCAACCTCAACATGACAGTAGCAAAAGGCACAATGTATGTAACAACATAAATTATAATAACTATATTTTTATTTTATTTTTTAATTTTTGGTAAAATTATGATAATATTAATTTCGTTAGGAAGATAAAATCATAGATACACGGTAATGTAGAAAATGATTCGACTTTTTGTAGGAAAATCAACAATTTTCTTTATTATACAGGGTTGTTCAAACTGAGTGGTACATTAGACGTTTTAGGGAAACTAAGAGTAGAGGTTATTAAGGATGATTTTTTTAAACCAAAATAAATTCAACTGTTGGTTGCTTCCGGTTGCACTGTATATTTTTTAAAACGAATTCGTATAAAACACAAAATTTTAAGGTAACTTTGTTAACTATCTACTATGCCTACGATGAATACTCTCTGAGATAATTTACAAAAAAAAACGCTACCGCAACCAAAATTATAAAAAATCATAACTTTAACACATTGATATTTTTACCAGTTATAGTCGTGTCTTATGACTAATGTTATACCAATTTACATAATTTTTACTAGATGTTCAGAAAAAATCCAAAGTTTGAGAACTTTAAACGTGAATAACTTCATTTTTTCAAACGGCACCTACCACATTTTATTTTGTCAATCGATTCCTTTCTTTATCCTATTTCGATACACGTGTGTGTTTTACATTGCTTTATTTGAAAATTTTTCAATAAATTTAGACTTTTATCTGAAATAAATAAATTTGTCATAAATTGACAGCCACCGCAAATTTCAAAAATCAAAATCTTATCTTTCGTTTTTTTTATGTTACAAAAATGATAGAAGAGGATGCTTATAATGAATACTGCAATTCTGTTTAAATTATTTAATTTTGTATTTTTTGAGAATGCAATAACGTTTAAGTAAGAACATGCAGATTATTTAATCAACTGCATCCTCAATTAGCTCTCATTAATAAGCGAAAATTTGGCAAAATTAAGAGGAATTTAGATAAATACGTATAACATAAGTAGTACATAAAGATACTAGTAATTTCGTATTATTCATATTGGAAAAATTAGTTATACGTTAACAAATAAAATTGTACCAATTAATTATTTGTATGCCAAGTATTCAAGCAGGCAACCATTTAAATTATTAACTAAATGTTAAGCAAGCTGCCATTTTTAATAGCCATATTAATTTGGGATTTTTTATTCCAATTTATTTTATAAAAAGTTTACCCAGGTATATATTAATCTTTACCCTTCGTCTAATTATAAATGTAAATTATTGACGACTATTGACGAATAAAACACTGTCGGCCACTATTACTAGTAAGTCGACTACAGTAATTATTAATAAAGAAATATCTTATAAAAAAGACCTCATTAATTACCGTTGAAAAATATTGCGCCTTGATAGATTTTCAAATACGACAATTTAAATAAACGAGTTCTTCGATAAATCTTTACCTTTCTTGACCCTGAATCGTCACTGTATATATCGAATAAAACAAACATTAATTATTGCTGAACAACGATGCATAACCCTGCATCGATCACCTATCAATTTTTAAATAATATATGTTATACCTCAGTACACGCAATTCCTGCATCTATGTATATTATATAAATTTGTGGTAGATTATATATATATACATTCACGGAAAGAACATTGTAGTATTTATTGATAGGTGTTCTTGTACCATTTACCAAATTACTCATATTAACTGAACTTTTGTAAATACAGTGTAACAATGTAAAAATTGCAGATGTCACAAGATGAATTAAAATTATACTTTTTTTATTTTTTATTGAGTATATGAAAAATATTCAGGATCGTTTTCGAGGTATCAATGCAAAAATAGAATTTTTAATGCAGAAGGTTAAAAAATTTGCAGTCAAGAAAAATTCTTCTGTTTCTTAATTTTATTAATTATTTTTTTGCAAAATGAAATCTTCATGGTCATAAGATATGAGTTATGGGACACCTTATAGGTTTGTTTTTGCGAAATACGAATAACTATACACAATTTTTCGAACATACTATTTTTTTGTGTAGCGACATTCTTCACTTTCGATTTTTGGATTTATTAAAGAGAACACGGCCAGATGGTTTGAATGTATAATTTTGCAATATTTAAAATAAATTGATTTGAATAGTGACTGTTTACAAAGAATATATTTAAAAGCTAAATTTTAAAAATAGACACATGTTTTTACTTTGAATGCAGCGAGGTTTCAACCTATAATCATTATGCATTTTGGTATTGTAGGTAATCATTTCTGTTGTTCAAGATACGTATTTTCAAAATACTTTTTTGTAGAATCTATTTAATTTTCTACATTTACTTAAGTAGGTATAAAATATTTTTTTAAGAAAACCTTGCAGGCATTTGCTCATTTTTTAAATATTGGAGTTTTTAGTTTTATGTTATAATTTCTTCAGTTCAGCAACAAATAATTCTTCTATATGCTTCCTTATTTGCCCTTGTCACCCGTTTTAATTGGAAAAAAGACACTGATGCCAAAATAGTTTGCTTAGCGTGAAAGATCCGAGACAAAATAGGGTTGCAAATAATTTTATTGATGTAAAATGACCATCAATCATTTTATATCAAAATATTTACAACCCCATTTTGTTTCTGATCTTTTACACATTGTAATAAGAGAAAGAAATGGAATCCATAGTTTCTTTAGCTTTGGGTTCATCTAATAAGTGAAATTTTTCGAATTGTTTTCAAAGAATTTTGAGTTATACGCATTTATTAGCACACAACAATATCTAGTAGTTTTCAATTTTATACAGCTGGCGTATATCAATTCGATATTGTTTTGGGGGCTGTTTTGTCGTAATTCATAGAATTTCGTAGTTCCTAGCTAAAAGGTCGATAAGTGGTGATTTGGTAGGTGCTAATATTAATTTGGAACTTAAAAATTCCGTTGGTTTTTACTCATAAACAACTTATAACATTATTTATTAGCTTAAGAGCTATACAAGTTGCTAGAGAGTAAACTTGTTTCTTCGTTAACAATAAATTAATTGGGTTATTATTTGGTGGATCTACCACGTTGCTCACACTTGATTAGTCAGACTCGCCCAGACTACCACCCACCCCGCTGTTCCAGTTCAACGCAATAATTTATTATCATCAAAAATTATAAATTCTAAGAAGCAAGTACAATAGGTGATTTAAAGAAGTTATCATAAATAGTTTCAGCACGTATCCATATAACGACTGCCTAAATCTTATTGCAAAGGAGAATAATTCTATTTATATCTCATTATGTCCATATTCCCATTATTATTCAAGTGTAATATTGTCTAGGTCCATAAACGGATTGTAATGCAAAGTTATAAATAAAGGAGCACATTGTGTCTCATTTTGAACACTTTATTAAGTACCCACGTAGTAAAAAAATTGTGGACACAATTTTCTTTATTACCGAATTTTTGCGAGAAGAGCAACAATTTTTACTTAACTCTTGATATAAACATCAGACAATTAGAGAAGTAAACTTATTAATCACCTAGATTACACGCTATTCTATTGTTAATTAAAAACGGTAAGCGTTTAAAGTTAAATAAAATTTGTGAAATTGAAAATTAAATTAAGATTTAGTTTCACTACAGTACTTTAAAATGCTATAAAATAATGTCATAAAAAATATCCCAAATACCTAACTAGCAGAACTGTTATTGGTAATTGTATGTTTTTGTTTATATTTGAAGTAAGTTGTTATAAAATGTGTATATTGTTGAACATATTTGTGGACATAATATGGTTATGTAGGATATATCAATATACTGGTATGCAAGGGAAGAAAAAGTAGGAACGGAGCGAATATAAAGATAGGACACGAAAAATTAGAAGAAGTAGCTGATTTTCGATATCTAGGAAGTCAGATAAGTCAGGATGGAAGGAGCAGTAGAGGTATAAAACAGGATAGCGCAGGGTCGAGTTGCCATCAACAAAAAGATTATTAAAGGTGTATGTCTGGATCGCGACACTGTACGGGTGCGAAACATGGAAGATTAGAAGCGTTCGAAATGTGGTATTACAGGCGGAAGATGAGGTTACCATAAATAGATAAGATTACAAATGAAGAGCTATTAGAAGGAACAGGAGAACAGAGACTACGGAAATCAATCAGAAATAGGCGAGATAGGTTGGTAGGACATCTTCTCAGGGAAGGGCTAGTTAGAGACATATTAGAAGCAGAAATGGGAGTTAAGAGGAGTAGAGGTAGACTTAGATTAGATTACTATTCACAAATTAGTGAAATGCGAATGGTGGCTCAGGATAGGGAAGAGTGAAGTACGTGTCCTGCCAGTCTTGCGACTGACGACCTTTTGATGACGATATTTCGGGCTATGTTTTCAGTTTTGTGTTTTATTTTTATTTACTCATAATTAGCTTAAAATAATAGATATCACATAGAGAAAAAGAAGAAAAGACATGACATTCTAGTTTCACTAAATTATCGCAATAATAAGGAGACGTTATTACATAAGCAAATTGTTTAAAACGTTTTTTTTTTATAATCATAGTTCATAAATTGCAGCACAGTGTTGGTAATTTATTTGACGTCTGGTTTAATAAATAAGAGCGACCTGATTTATAAACAAATTAAAAGAAATTTTATACACACGTAATTAATTCATGGTTATGGAATGTCTGATTTCGCATGGCAAAAATCCTACATTAATAACCGATGTAGCTTTTTAATGACCCAAAAAGGTTCTGTGGTTAATTGCAAAACAACTTCTAGAAGTTCACGCTTTCTGTCACTTGCTTACTTGCATGTATGAGACAAATTGCAGTAAGACGTGACAATTTTCTCACGCCATTCGTGTCGGTGAGTTTTCTATGATTATAAGGCTATTACTGAACTTAATTGACTACTAATGTAAAAGTGAGTGAATAATTGACGATTTAAAAATAATTCTGCAAGTTTAAGTTACCCATTCCAAAGACGCAAGTTCAAAGTTTATTTTACACTCAATTATAAAATTTTTTAAATATTCAGCAAGGTAGGGGAGACCGGGGATGGTTGACTATAG